ACGGCCTGTCCAATGGCCGTGGGCCTCCAGGTCGCGTGCTTGGAACAGGCGCGCGGCCTAGGGGCCCTCAACAACCGTCGGGCCCGAAAATGGGCACGTGTGTCAGGCTCAGCATGTAACATCATGGTCTTCATTATTGTCGTCCACCTCCTCCTCCTTCTCCTCGTCTTGGTCCCCACCATCATCCTCCTCCTCTTCCTCCCTCCTTTCCCATCTTCTTCTTCCTCATCACTGCCTTCATTATCATCATCCTTTTCGCCAGGATGGCTCCCCAGCCAACCAATATAGCAGCGGATGGCCCTTCAGTGTCTTAGACGCCGGGGAAGGGTGTTTCTTGGCGAAAGGAAGGAAGAAAGGGAGCATGCAACAAGTCTTATCAGGTCCATGTGTATGTTTGTGTTTTGTCAATTGTCACCATGACAACCTGTTTTCCACCCTGATGAATAGATCCCAATTTGATACAAACTGCTTGTCAATGACCTTACTTTCTTCTATTGCAACATGTTCAATCCACCAATATGAGAGGAGTGCCCTTTTTTCTTTTTTTCTTTTTCTTTTTTTGGTGAGAGAAGTGCCCTTGTACTGATCTGGGCCAGGTACATAAGAGATCACAGAAAGCGTGCCACTATCAGAAGGAATTTTGAAAAGAAAGTATCATATGTATAACCTGCACTACTCCACCCCTAGCTGATTAACCCACTAGAGAAGAGAGCTAGCAAAACTGGAACGTGTGCGGTAAATTTTCACCATAATAACCCCTTTTTTCCACCCCAATGTGTTTTACATGTGCCCTGTGACGTGGGTTCTTCGTATGTGTGTGTTTGTGTGTGTTTGTGTTGTGATGATGTGTTTGAAACACATGATTCAGCCTCAACAGGGTAAAAGGTCATGCACAATACCATGTCAAGACCTCGTAAGGAAAATGTGCATCCGACGAGCCAAGTTACAAGACAATCCTCGAAGGAATTAGTGCAAACAGACCCAATGGAAGGATGAAAGACAGAAAAAATCGCTCTCCTTCCAGTTGAATAAATTGAGAGTGGAAGGGGCTTTTTTTTTTTTTTTTTTTTTTTTTTTTTT